AATTGACATTTAATGGTTTTTTAATTAGTGGGAGTTTTTGACGCCAATGAAACAGTGTGCATTTGTTTTTTTTAATTGTTTATAAACTGTTTATAATTACGAGTGACGATGACTTTAATGTATTATTAACCTTTAACAAAAAAAAAAAAAAAAAAAAAAAAAAAAAAAAAAAAAAAAAAAAAAAAAAACAACAATCCGAAGTCCCGGTGACACTTTGTCAAGAACAGCTTATTAAAAGAAAAAGACAATCCGAAGTCCCGGTGACACTTTGTCAAGAATCAGCCCATCAAAAAAAAAAAAAAAAAAAAAAAAAAAAAAAAAAAAAAAAAAAAAACTAACAATATTTACAGGGTTTCACAAGGAATTGGTACCTATGCATCTCTGCTTTGTTTTTGGATCTTGTGATCTCTCTGTGGTAGTGTGGCTCTCCTCTTGGCTAGTACCTACTCTCACCTTGCTCTCAACGTGACAGACTACTTACTTTCTCCTGCTATCTATGGCCGTTGAGAGAACGGGATACAGACTATGATTTATACAGTATAAGAAATTGAAAGGACTGAAAGAATTGAAATGAACAGTATTATTATGATTTTTGAAAAAGGAAGGAAGAAAGAATTGAGAATGTGATGATAGTTTTGGGAAAGTTTTAATCTGTTTTAGAAATTGGAGTAAGATGTTAGTATTCTCACTGAGCTGCGAGGGCCACATCGCTGCAGTGTTTCTATTTCTATTATTGGATTGTATTTGTATTTATATTCATTTATTTATTTATTAAGATGACTAACCATCTATCTCCATAGGAGTGGTGGGGCTGTTTTTACACTACAATTACTGCCTATCATTGCACCGTCTAACCAATAAAACAATATGAAGTACAAAAACAAGCTACAAATAGAATTAAGATTCTAACATTCCCCCTACTTTAAAAAAGAAAAAGTACTTACTAATAATTTAACTCATGACTTTTACAATCTTAAAGTCATAACTCCCTATACTTTCTTTGTTAAAAAATACTATCCGACTATCCGAGTTAAAATTAGGAAATAAACTCTAGCAAAAACCGTAGAGTTAAGAATATTCTAATCCCCACACGCAACACAAAAACGTGTCGTGCGCGCTAAACGAAAAAGATACTTTCTATGAGTTTTGAGCTACAGAAAAAATGCGCGGCTCAATCCGAAATATTTCTAATTTAATACGTGTCATGTCCACTGTCATAAAAGCAGATAACTAAAAAAGCAGTTAACGATTATTCCATATTCGGCGAGTCACGTGGTACAAGTGGATTAAATCTCTGTTAACGCGGGAAAAACATCCGCTGTAAAACAGGCTAGTGGCTAAAATGACTACCTTTCCACGCTGAGCGTGAGATCTGAGAGATATAATACTTGTACAAAACGTCCGATAGAATTAATACAGTCTAACTATTAGCTAATTAACTATCAAAGTTCTTAATACGAAAATCTCTTTTCTATGAACGGAATTGAAACATCGTTCTAAGACTGACAGGTGCACAAAAAAATACCCGTCCAACACTGTAAACAAGTGTGATCTTTAGAGATTTCTGTATCGAGTTATCGTAATGACAGAAACACTGCGTACTAAAACTAAATATTAGGAGCTATTCAAGCTTTAAACACAACCTCTAGAGAGTCAATAATGCGTCACTAACAAATCATTGACACACACCACTGTACTAAACAGTTCTAAAACGTAAAATACATGAATTCTGTCGTTTAAAACAGGTTCAAACTGAGTCCCTAAAGGCTCGGGATCAGTGAAGAACATGTAATAGCATGTTGATCGAAACGACAGCATTCTTATAAAACCAAAAAACTCACGCTGAGCAAGCTGCTCCTAGCTCATCCCAACAGAAAATACCAAACATCCCCTGTTAACACTTCCTACAGAAGATGCAAGTTAATAAAGTAATATCAGGTAAACACTTTCATGTCTTTGAGAAGAAAAGGATCGTCTTTCTGAAAAGTAAGTTTGAAACTGAAATGTTAGACTTTTAGAAGTAGGAATCTGAAATATTCTGTTAGCGGTAATTTTATTACACATGTCACGTACAAAATGTACTTTAAATTGTATCTATTAATCCTTATTATCTCTACACCATGTAATAGAAAATTTAGCAAATCAACTGACAAATGTGACCGTGCGCTACAACACAAAGAAAAGGAGCGCTAAAGCTGGTACACACGTCTAAATTCGCTAACTAATCTATCTTTCTCCCAAAATTGTTGAAAATTTAGCAAATACAACCAAAGTTCAGTTACCAGACTAAGAGAAAAGAAAAGAAAGGATAGACTGGTTCCTAAAAATGGGATTCACTAACTTTTCATCAAACATTCCCAACTTACTACATTCTCAGTAAAAAATATGAACTAACGACAAAAAATTGTCAAAATATCCTTCCCAAAACTTCTGTTCGAGAAACTTCTCTAGAACATAAAAACACAAAATTAATATACGTGTAAAGAGTTACAAATGTTTAAAAGATTGTTAAATACAAACACCTCGTGCATGTTAAAAGTCTCTGAAAGGTTAAAAATGTAAAAATGACTCGTTACAAAGTTGGTAATTCTAACAATACTAATATATACACACACATTTAAAGTTAAAAGTTTATTACAAATGACGTTAAAAAGTTATTGTTTAACCAAATTGACATTTCAAACAACAAATAATCCGAGCAAAAATATTCAATCTCTTTCTACAACATAAAGTCCAAAACAGTTATACTCTCTCTGACATATTCACAGTATCCTTGATCTATGACTTAAGCGAGCTTGCTGAAAACTGCACCTCTCTTCGTGAGACATCCTGAACAATCTTTAACCTCTGCACTTGTACAGAGTTATCCAACTCAACTGATACGGGTTCACCGTTTGACTCGTCCAGTCGTACATTGTAAAGATTTTTGTTCTTCCCTGTAGGTTTCCCAGCTCTACATATCACCAAGGCATTATTCCAATCATCACTCTCCGAGGATCTGAACCTGATAATGTCATTCTTCTTTACACCCACGCCTGTTCTGGTTTGACACACACTTTCCCAATCCGACTGATTCACTGACAGATCTGACAGATTCACACTCCCTGAAACTGAACTTACAGTTCCATGGTCATCTGGCTCAAATTCTGTCTCAATTTCTGGCTCACTTTCTGGCTCACTGTCTTGATTCACATTACCTGAAACTGAGCTCACAACTCTATGGTCCTCTAGCTCACTATCTGGCTCAATTTCTGGCTCATTGTCTTGCACACTCTCAAGGTCACCTGCACTATCAGTTTCTAACTCCTCCTCTTGATCACTTTCATCCTCACTTAGTGACCATGGCGATGAAATCTTCTCCTCTAAAACAGGACGGACCTTAATTTCTGTTGCATGATTAGTTCTTCCAGAATCTGTTTGGCTGATAGAACTTTCACATCGTCCTATGGGTATCATCATGTGTCCTGACTTAGTGATCACTAGATTCTCTTCTCCTCCGAAAGCATAAACTTTGTCAGTTTCAGTATCGATCTTCATCTTCATCTTTTTCATGGACTCTCTAGACAGTAACAATGGAATATCATTATCCACAACAAACACGCTTAGAGTAACTTCCTGTCCACATATTGTCACTGGGAGTATTTTCTGTATCTTAGCTGTAACTGCATTTCCATCCCCGAAACTAAAATTCTTCTCACTAGAGGTCACTTTGACCTCTTTTTGTTCAGCTGATGTAAGAGATTCCTCGAAGACTGCCAGCCATTTCTTCCCACACACTGTGGAACTAGCACCTGTATCTAAAAGTGCTCTATTTTTCGATTCTCCCATAAGACACTTGTCTTCGTCTTTTAGTTTAAAGTCAGACTCAAAGAATGTAAGCTTCTTCTCTCCAAATGTGTTGTACTTACAGTCTCTCATCATATGGTCTGTTTCCTTACAAATATGACAACGTAAGGGTCCTGATTGTTGGGCTTGTGCTCCTCGTCTGGATCTAAATGGAGCTTGTTGATACACGTTTCCTGAACTCTGTCCTTGAAATGCAGGTCTTTGTCCGAAGGGCCTTTGTCCGAAAGGTCTCTTAGATGGATAAAAATCCCTGTGTTGGTGGTATCTTTGTTGATAAAAAACTTTCTGAGGGTCTTCCTCCTGGTTGCTCTGGTCATCACCAAAATGTTCTGAATTGTTGATGTCGTACTGTTGAAAATACGTATTGACAGGCTCTTCTTTAATCTTTGGTTTTCCGATGGAATATGTTTCACCGCTAGCACTTGATGAAGAAGAAGATGTATTAGTATAATCTTCTCCGTATGCTCTTTTAAGCTGGGATTCCATATTCTCGTAGCTTAACTTAGAGACCGTTGCCCTGATTAACGTCTTTTGATGGTCCGAGAGATTAGCATGATGTAATAAGAAGTACGCTAGTACTCCATCTTCAAATACCACAGTAGCACCACGCTTCTGCACAAGGCTCTTGTAACGATGGCTAAATTCTCTCACATACTCTTCCATGGGCACTTCCTTGGGTCTTCTGTAGTTCATGAAGCTGTCAATGGATGTAAAGACTGACTGTGTCTGGTCTTTTTCATATAACTTATCCAGCTCGGCAATGAGAACATCTATTCCTCCATCTATGGATAACTTTTCTACGTCTAGCTGTATAGCCACAGCTTCTGGTTTTCCAGACATATTCATGATTAATGCAGCTGCTCCTGCCTCAGGCTTGACGGTAGTCACCTTCTTCCACCACTGAACTCTCCGTTTCCAATCTGTATAGTTGGACTTCTCATCAAGAACAGGTACTCTATCACCTCCCATGATGAAAACTGAAATCTAGTGTTAGGTGTTAAGTTGTTAGGTGTTAGTTTAAATATATACAAAAAAATAAATACGGTCCGGTGCAACGTAGTTCTTCCTGCTACCACTGTTGGAACCCTGTTCTTGGGTTAATTAAATAACAAATAATACTCAATTATTATAAATACAAATTAGATGAATAAAGAGGTTATACAAATCTTGTGTCAAAAGTAACCTTGTTACTCTACAATGTACTCTCTTAAATAGTGAATGATTGATATGGTGTGACTCAGTAACTCACACTACTCTGCTCTGACTAATAGTTAAAACACATTTCAATACTAAACTAAACAATGTCTTTTTTACTATTAGATTAAACTACTATTAAATTAAAACTACTACTCCTGATGATGATGTTCTTCTTACTATATGAGGGACTTCTGAATGATGAGGACTTCAAGTAAAACTGGAACTGATAACTATAAAACAAAACCCTGGGGGAAAACTACCGTGAGTAAAGTGAAAGGTAATCCACGTGAAACTATAAATGAAAGTGAAAGAGGAAGCGGGAACTCCTAGACTAAACTACTAAACTATAACTATAAACTACTTACCACTCTTTCCACGTCACAGAACACAGATAGTATCTGTCGACTGGAATCTGTGGGATCACTAAAACAACGTCACTCCTCTCCCTTCTGCTACGCTAGAGTCTGGAGTCGACAACGTCACTCCTCTCCCTTCTGCTACGCTAGAGTCTGGAGTCAACTAAACACTGGACACTCCTCTCTCTTCTGTTACTTCAACTAGAGTCTGGAGTCGAGCCTTGTCTGCCTTCTGGAGTCCCTTTACCCCAACACTGTATATACAATCACTGGAACTAAACCTTTGCTAAAGTGAGATACAGGGTTAGTAATATGAAGTACAAAAACAAGCTACAAATAGAATTAAGATTCTAACAGAAAAAGAGAACAGAACATCTCTCAAGGGATACTAAAAATCTCCTAAAAGAACGAGGGGAGATTAAAAAGAAACCCAGTACTGCTGAGAACCGTGTTGGAACCCTGTTCTTGGGTTAATTAAATAACAAATAATACTCAATTATTATAAATACAAATTAGATGAATAAAGAGGTTATACAAATCTTGTGTCAAAAGTAACCTTGTTACTCTACAATGTACTCTCTTAAATAGTGAATGATTGATATGGTGTGACTCAGTAACTCACACTACTCTGCTCTGACTAATAGTTAAAACACATTTCAATACTAAACTAAACAATGTCTTTTTTACTATTAGATTAAACTACTATTAAATTAAAACTACTACTCCTGATGATGATGTTCTTCTTACTATATGAGGGACTTCTGAATGATGAGGACTTCAAGTAAAACTGGAACTGATAACTATAAAACAAAAACTCTGGGGGAAAACTACCGTGAGTAAAGTGAAAGGTAATCCACGTGAAACTATAAATGAAAGTGAAAGAGGAAGCGGGAACTCCTAGACTAAACTACTAAACTATAACTATAAACTACTTACCACTCTTTCCACGTCACAGAACACAGATAGTATCTGTCGACTGGAATCTGTGGGATCACTAAAACAACGTCACTCCTCTCCCTTCTGCTACGCTAGAGTCTGGAGTCGACAACGTCACTCCTCTCCCTTCTGCTACGCTAGAGTCTGGAGTCAACTAAACACTGGACACTCCTCTCTCTTCTGTTACTTCAACTAGAGTCTGGAGTCGAGCCTTGTCTGCCTTCTGGAGTCCCTTTACCCCAACACTGTATATACAATCACTGGAACTAAACCTTTGCTAAAGTGAGATACAGGGTTAGTAATATGAAGTACAAAAACAAGCTACAAATAGAATTAAGATTCTAACAGAAAAAGAGAACAGAACATCTCTCAAGGGATACTAAAAATCTCCTAAAAGAACGAGGGGAGATTAAAAAGAAACCCAGTACTGCTGAGAACCGTGCTAAGTACTCGCGGATTAACGGCCTTGTAAGGCAGAACTGTAAAAGAGATGATAATGCTTGGGCTGTTAGAGTAGCGGAGGAATTAGAAGATGCTGCCAAGCAGGGTCAACAAAGAGATGTTTGGCAGAAAATAAAATCCTTAACAAACAAGAGAGTAAACAGATCTGCGGCAGTGCGGGATAAGAATGGGACACTTATATCAGATCCCGAAGCTCAGTCACATCGCTGGGCCGAATATTTTGAAGAACTCTTGACGCCAGCAGCAAATGCGGTGGATTTCTCTATATTGGATCAGGATGAAAAGTTACTTTCTTTTGAATACCTTAGTAATGATGATGAACCACCGTCCTTGTTTGAAATTGAGGAAGCTATCAAGAAGTTGAAGAACTACAAGAGTGCTGGAATTGATGAAATTTCAAATGAGCAGTTAAAGTACGGTTCTTCTGGACTTCTGCCTTGGTTAAAGGATCTTTTTGAAACTGTGTGGAAAAGTGAGGATATTCCTAATGATTGGAGAAAAGGAATAATCACCATCATCCCAAAGAAAGGGGACCTCACATATTGCAACAATAACAGAGGTATAACGTTACGTTCAACTGTATCAAAGTTATTCCAAATTGTGTTGTTAAAAAGACTGAGTAATGGGCTTGAAAAATTGCTCAGAGAGAATCAGTGTGGTTTCAGGAGAAACCGTTCTTGTATAGATCAGCTGTACTCACTTCATTGTATAATACACAATTGTATAGAATTCAACGTCCCTTTGTACATAAACTTTATTGATTTTAAAGCTGCTTTTGATTCAATCAATCGTGACTTTATTTGGAAAGCTTTTGAACATTATGGTCTTCCGACAAAATATATCAATGTTTTCAAAGCGTTCTTTAGAGCAACTGAAAGTGCAGTTCGTGTCAATGGAGAATTGACAAGATGGTTTGATGTCGATTCGGGGACTGGACAAGGTGATGTGCAAGGGCCCCCCATTTTTAATCTTGTACTTAACTGGGGATTAGAACTTGCAGAGAAGTTTAAAAATATATCCCGTGGTTTTACTCTTCAGTACAGACAAAGTTCCAGACAACCGGAAAAATGTGTCATTGATCTGGACTATGCTGATGACATCGCAGGAATGGATGACACTGTTGAAGGACTGCAAGAAACTACGGACAATATTGCGAAATACTGTGGGCTCGGGGGTTTAAAGATGAACGCAAAGAAAACAGAGATCATGGTCATTGGGAAAGATACATCGCAGCACCCACTCCCAGAGAATAGGACCATAGATATAACTGTCGATGGAAACTCTGCAAAGCAGGTCACTCAATTCACTTATTTGGGTGCCAAAATTACATCAGATGGCAAGATTGATAAAGAAATAAGTGTCAGGATTGGAAAGGCAACTGGAGCTTTTAACCAACTCAACAACATTTGGAAGAATAAGAACATAAGCATTAACAACAAAGTGCGAATCTACATCGCAGCTGTTCTTACCATTCTGACCTATGGATGTGAGATATGGAACACGACTCAAGTGCAGACAAGAAGATTGGAGTCTTTCCATCAGTACTGCTTAAGAAGAATCCTGAGAGTGAGGTGGTTCCATCGAGTAAGTAATGAGGATGTTTTAAGAAGGGCATCAATAACTGCTCTTGCTGACATAATAACAACAAAACGGCTGCGTTGGTTTGGACATGTCAGTAGAATGCCTGAAGATCGGTTACCCAACTATTTACTTGAATGGAAACCCAAGCATGGGAAGAGATCAAGAGGCAGGCCTAGGAAGAGCTTAAGGCCAGAGGGGGGGGGGGGGGGGTAAATGGCACTTTTCTAGTTTTCACATATTTGATAATAGCTGTTGGAGACGAACAAGAAGAAAAAAACCAGATCAAAATCTGACCTTGCGTTCCTGAGATATCGCGTGCTAAATTTTGAGGTTTACCTGTAATTACATGTTGAACTGGATCTTTAAACGGCTGTAACTTTTTTGACCTTTCGATTCCTTAGTTGAGAAAACCGGCCACTCCCTGATCTTGAGGTTTGGTACAGTGGTTCCTTAGACAATTATCCTCATTTATTATGTGAGCGATTTTTGTTATTTGACTCGGTTCTTGAATTATGAGGTTAACCATGTCAAAAATTCGGAAAATTTAGCTGGTTAACCTCATAATTCGAGAACTGAGTCAAATAAAAAAAATCGGTCACATAATAAATGAGGATAATTGTCCAAGGAACCACTGTACCAAATCTCAATATCAGGGGGTGGCTGGTTTTCTCAACTAAGGAATCGAAAGGTCAAAAAATGTGTTTTGAGATAGATGCAATTTAGTGTTTTCAAAATTTTGAATATTCACTGGAATGTATCACAGTTCGTTAGTTAGGACTTTTTATAAACTTAATAACGTTTGCTTGATCAGACCTGGCCGTCCCCTAAATGATTTTAGCTACTTTCAGTAGTTAATTTCCTTGTATTGTAAAAAATGAGGTTAACCAAGACTTCCTGTAAACACTAACTGCTTAAAATTTGATTGTTAACCTCGCTTTAGACCATATAACACTGGGATTGGTTTATCAATATGTTATTATATATGTAGTAAAACATTTGCACAGTATAACGATTAAGTTTTTGAGGTTAAAATATAATTGATTAGTCAGGTATTCAAAAAATGAGAGGTTAACCTCATTTTTTAGCCATTTACGGGTAAAATCTTCTACTAAAATATGGTCAGTTCGAATCACCTTTGTCACGTGATTATAGTTGTAGGCATTGTGATACCAATAGATACCTCACTTCGATATTGTGGTACATTACATAAGTAAGAATCGTATGTATATTCCCTACGGTACCAAAATGTGTTGGTTAACCTCATTTTTTTCATTTTCCCAAGATAAAAGAAAGTCAATCAACACGTCATCTATTTAGAAATGTGTATACCGTAAACTTACGATGAAAATAATAACTCTATCATTTGATCTATTCTCGCTATATCTAAAAGACGAGGTTAACCTCATTTAATCACGTTTGGATATTACTTTTTCTGACAAATATGAACCTAAAATTTAGAGTTTACATTTGCTGACCGAAATAACAAAAAATTATGGCGTGTAATAAAATATTAACCTCAATTTTATTAACCTCAATGTTGTATAGTCAATTTTGTGAAAATCGGTTAACCTCAATTATAAAATAAAGTTAATCAGCTACAAATATGTGAATAGCGGCAATGTTTTTGTCATTAAAAATTAAATCGATTTAGAAAATAATATTTTGGTAGAATTTTTTGACCCCTTACCCCCCCCCTCTGGCCTTAAATGATGTATTTATTGAGGATGCTGAGCAGAGATTGGATCGGAATGGACTCACGATTGATTGTATGAGAAGATTAGCTGCAGACCGAAAGGGATGGAGAAATGTTACCCGCCGAAGTTGTATAATACAAAGTAATGACGCAGTCGACGCAGACTAATCCTTTTGGATGGAGATCTCGCCATGTAACATGTAACATGTATGTTTTTTATAAATGAGTGGGATTCGTGCATGGTAAAAATTAACGATTTATTTGATGCAGCGCCGCGCATCAACAATAAATGAATCCAGAAAATTGCGGAAAATAACTTTGCGAAGGAGGAATTTCACTGTAATTAATTAACACATGGCTAGCGTCGCGCGCAGCATAACAGACGCTTCCAATACACTTAATTATAGGGGAGTGGTCTATATTGCAAAGGAGCAGACTTTTGTCATCATCGCAGGTCCATCGGGCCACCTCATATATCCAAACCCGATTACTTATTCCCTACGATCTTTTTGCCTTCGGCAAGAGTAGGGAAAAAAATCCTACAATTATAAAGGAATGAACTCAGTACTATAAATATACGATAAATCTTAACATGTTTGTACAGAATGCAATTTTATTTAGTTCTGCAGACAAATTTAATTTAATTTGTTTAATTAGAACTCATTTGGAATTTGACAACGAGGTGTACGTGTTAAGATTATGAAACTAAAAACTATCGTGTAAGCAGCAGAATATTCAACCAATATTAAACTATATATAAGTTCTTACATTGTTGTATTCAATCAAATGAATAAGATTAGATTTAACTGTTGATCTCCACTGTGTTCAAGATATTTTAAGGCCAGAGGGGGGGGGGGGGGGGGGGGGTGGGGGGGGGGGGGGGTGGGGGGGGGGGGGGGGGGGGTAAAAGTAGTTTTTCCAGTTTCCACATATTTGATCAGAGCTGCTGAAAAAATCGGACCAAAATCTGACCTTGCGTTTTTGAGATATCGCGCGCCAAATATTGAGGTTTACCTGTAATTACATGATAAAGGTTCAATGTTAGACCGGGTTCAATGTTAGACCGGACGAAGTATATATTTCATGAGCCGGGGTCAATGTTAGACCGGACGAAGATATGGCTACATCCCAACAGTGGATAACACAGCAGAGGTTCTATTACAGTTAAATTCTGTTACCTGAACTCAACTTAACAGTTCTAATATTATAGCATATACTATAATATTATGAAGATATTTTGTGTCAAAATGAGGCTGTTTAATCATTCTTACACACCAAAGGTTGTTGTGTGTTTTTAATTAATTTATTATTGTTAAAAAGTTTATATTGAGAATTTTATACAGTAGTCTATAGACCAATTAAATTATTTACCGTTGTTGTTGCTCTTGTGACCAGAGTTTTAGAGTTATATATATATTATTAAATCAAAGTTCTAAACAAGGGATAGTTTAAAAAACAACGCCCAAGTCTAATCTTTCCCTAAAACAAAAACTAAAAATTAAAAACTTCATTGCAATTTCCGCCAATATCTCTTGTCATAACTCAAATTACGGAGATAATGCAGGTCAAAGATATTATTTAAATAAAGATTTCTTTTACATAAATCATGTTATATATATATATACATGATAAACTTTAACTTAAACTGTCAAAAGTTTAAAAACCTTAACTTGAAAAGGCTGGCCACACCCAGAAGCTGAAACTTGGCACAGGTGTTCTTTGGGGTATTATGCAAAAACTTTATGTTTTAGAATTTTGATTTTTGCCTTTGTTCTTGAAATATGAGGTTAACTTTACCCCAAATTCGATTTTTCAAAAAAAGTTAACCTCATATATTTCAAAAATAAAGGCTAAATTCTAAATTCTAAAAAATAACGTTTTTGCGCAACAAACCAAGGAACACCTAGCCTGTACCAAATCTCAATATCAGGGGGTGGCTGGTTTTCTCAAGTTAAGGATTTTGGTATGAAATGAGGTTAACCAAGACTTCCTGTAAACACTAACTGCTTGAAATTAGTAAAAATTTGGTTGTTAACCTCGTTATAGACCATATAACACTGCGACCATATAACACTAGCTGACGACTATTAACACATGTTTATTGAAAGCTTCTACAAGTTAAACTATCGTATCACTTATATGTTTTAACCCAACTCCATTCAGACATATAACACTGGGATTGGTAATTTCAATATGTTATCATATATAATGTAGTAAAACATTTGCACAGTGTAACGATTAAGTTTTTGAGGTTAACATGTAATTGACTGGTCAGATATTCAAAAATGGGAGCTTAACCTCATTTTTTAGCCATTTACTGGTAAAATATTCTACTTAAATATGGTCAGTTCAAATCACCTTTGTCACGTGATCATAGTTGAAGGCATTGGGATGCAAATAGATACTTCACTGCGAATTGTGGTACATTATTAAATTAAGAATCGTATGTTAATGTATATTCTTACGGTACCAAAATGTGATGGTTAACCTCATTTTTTTCACTTTCCCAAGATAAAAGAAAGTCAACCCAAGTCAATCAACACGTCATCTATTTAGAAATGTGTATACCGTAAACTTACGATAAAAATAATAACTCTATCAAATGATCTATTCTCGCTACATCTAAAAAATGGGGTTAACCTCATTTAATCACGTTTGGATATTACTTTTTCTGACAATTATGAACCTAAAATTTAGAGTTTACATTTGTTGACCGAAATGACAAAAAATTATGGAGGGTAATAAAATATTAACCTCAATTTTATTAACCCCAATGTTGTATAGTCAATTTTGTGAAAATCGGTTAACCTCAATTATAAAAAAAGTTAAGCAGCTACAAATATGTGAATAGCAGCAATGTTTTTGTCATCAAAAATTAAATTGATTTAGAAAATAATATTTTGGTCGATTTTGTTGACCCCCTCCCCTCCCCTCCCCTCCCCTCCAATAAATGCCATACACCATCCGGTTACCAATAATAAGTTGGGTAAATTCAGACAGAACAGTAAAGTCAATCTTGGTTATATATCAGCCTTAGTGTACTCACTGTTCAAGACAACTTGGTCTAGTCCGATATGCCTGCTCACTGATTCACATTTGACGTTTGAGCTGAACTTGCATTGCAAACAACACTCAAAAAGCAAGACAACTAATATTGCACTGAGGGGATACAGAGGAAGAGATATAACTACTCTGTTTAGTTCTAGAGCTAGTTATTAGATTGAATATGGATTAAGGGCAGACATTGATGAGACTGATTATCGGGATTATCTATTACAAAATCTTAAAATTCAGAATTATACATTGTTAACAATTTCGTTTTGCTAACAGCTCTCTTCGTCTGATGAGCTAGAGAAGTCGCTGATTTCCGATAGGGTACAGGGTGTCGATTCTTTATGCTTCCTGTGTCTGAGGAAGCGTTCCTTCTTGTTCCACAGTTGTTTACATTTAGCTTCTTTTTCAGCTGTGTTTTTCAGTCATAAGTTTTTGTAAGTAATTGTGTGGGTCTGGGTATCTGCTTCTGGCCGCTATGAGCGTTATGATATTAAAAGATGATGACTTTTTTGATATCACCACTTGATTAATGGGATTAATGAAATATTGACTGAACCGTGTACACATTTATTTATGTGATGCCGTTGATGAATTCTGCTTATTTCAGTCCCTTCAGTGGTTTCAGTTGATTCTAAGTACAGCAAAACACTGACATGAAAATCTAAATTGTTGATGTCGAGTAGAATATATACATTCTCTACATTTGAGCTTGTCTAATTTTTTGTCTCATTTGTCCAAAATTTTTGTCCCTTTTGTCCCTTTTGTCCCTAGTATTGTCCATTTTGTCCCCAAAACACTGTCCTTCACAAAAAATGTAAAAAAAGACAAAGACAAAATGGACAAAATGGACAGTGGTACCCCCCCCCCCCCCCCCCTTTATTGTTATCTCCAATTGTGGCTGTTGTTTTTAAAATTTCTTCTCCTTATCTAGAATATTTAAAAAAGTTATAATATACAGATTGTTATCAAATATTGGCCCCTCCGTAAACAATATAATTAATAAAGAATTGTTTTATCATCTTGAAATTTTTGTTGTCTTGATTAATCTTAATCCTTTAATTAGGTATGTTGGAGTATTCAATAGTGGTATCTCGTCTTTTAAGGTGAGTGTTCAATAGGTTTACTTACTTAAGAATCGTTCACACTTCACGTGTTATGCCAAAGAGGTAAGGTTTTGAAAAGTTTTGTAATTTCTTCTCAAAAGCTACTTGACAATAGCTCATAGAGGGGGAGAGTGTCTGAAATGGCCAAAATCTGGTTTTTGTAAAAAGATGCCGTAAAAGTATTGAGAATCGTCGAATATGAATCGCTGCTACTGACTCTGGAAGTCTTAGCACCGTTACTGTATAGTATAGTGTTTGGCCACTGTAAAGAATTGAGAAGGACTCTTGTACAATGTACAGTAGCCAAGGATGAACCTGTGAATGAATTTAACATTATCAGAATTATTGATACATTGATAAGTGATTACTGAAATGTAAGTTGGAACCTGAAAGAATGTGCTTCATGAATTGTGGACAATCATACCAGCTAACCTGGCTCTGTGCATCTAATTCTGAGATAATAATGACTCAAATCTGTTGGAGTCACCAAGAATCATCTTAGTTCCATCACCCATCATCGATGTTTTCCAGTGTTGACAAATCGTTGAGTGTAATTTATTTAAGAGCTCTAGGCTATGAATCCAGTCACTCAATTGATTGAAACATATCATTAATATCACAATGTACCACTGTAGCAAGAACACATACTAACTACTTGAGCTGTTTTACAAATGAGATTCATAGATAAATATATCCATTAATCTATTAATTAATTAATATATCCATTAATCTATCTCGATGGCTCGAGTCCTTACTATCTGCACTGTCCTTACTAGATCTGCAACCTGTCCATTTTGAGTATAATCGACAACGAAATAAAGTAATTAAATAAAAATAATAGTTATCGGATAAATAATTTAAGTTACCGAAGTAAGTGTGCCTAAAAACTGAAACTCTACCATCCTTATTTGTCATTTATATGTCATCGACCATCGTTCCTCCGAACTGTTACGAGAATTACTCAAGTAAAAGATTCCAAGCCCACTTCCACATCACATTACAGTGATCTTGCAGCGAACATGCTCCTATCATGTGGAGGTATGAACTTTGCTTCCTCTTGCAACGTTAAAGCTTGTAACTTGACACCATCAACCTTGTGATAACCTCCCAATATCAGTCACCCATTTTTTCATAGCTTTTGTGCGTTTGCTGTTCCGCTTTCAAGCAGTTATTGTTTATGTTCTACTGCCGTTGCTCCGGTCTACATATTAAATAAGTTGTTTGCCGCTATGTCTCTCAAAGAAGAAGGTTTAAATTATCAAACTATTATTTATTAAACATTATGACAATTCGAATTTCAAAAATTGAACTTCACGCTTGCAAACAGCCAACAGGCCATCCTTTTCAGATTCTCAGAAGAAAGGATTCTGTGTCGGCCGTTTTAAGAAGCTCGGGGCATTCTTTTCCCGGTCCGTAGTCGAGGAAACCAAGACCAGGACAGTTTCTCTTCCTAGTATTTACCTTGAGGAGGAGGAGGGGGAGTTCTGGGAAGTATCTCCTGATCCTATTTACCAGAATATCGACTGTATCTCTCTGAATCGATATCAGATATCAGGTTCGGACTCCGAGAGTGGAAGTGAGTACGATTACTGTGATCACAGTTTGATTGTTGAAGAGAATAAAATACCAGATTGTGAATCATATCCTGATCACAGAGCTTCTGTCAAGCAGCAGGATAATATCTACACTGATCCAGATAATCTCAGAGATAAGAGGTCTGACAGTTTAGCTGCAGATCCTGCTGAACATCAGTATACTGATATAATCCCAGAGATAGACACTTCTGATTCTTTGAGTGTCTTGTATAACAGCATCTGTTTAAAGTTACCTCAGGACACTGTTAAAAGTAACGAGCTTCCTGTTTATCACAGTAAACCCGGAGATCTACTTTTACCTGTCTTCTCAAAATCTAGAGAGATAGTTACCTTCGCACCAGTTACCTTCGAACCAGTTTCACCAACAACTGAGTCCGTGCAACCAACTGATTTAGCTCCCGCATCTGTTCATCCAGCTGACACTTCTGAAACAGTTCACCCAGAAGATACTTCTGAAACAGTTCATCGAGCTGGTAAAGAAGATAACGATCAGACTAAAACAGAGGAAGACGTCGAGTCTGTTTGTGATAGATCTGATACTACAGCTTTAAACAGTTCTGTAGAGACACAAGAGGGTGAGTTAAATAAAGTAAGCAAACATTAACGTCACAGGACGTCTGCACTCTGCTGTCGAATTTTTATTTACATTCATTTACTTTGCTACGAACCCCGAAACTTTGCACCCTGGGCCCTGGCTGCTAACCTAAAATTCACAATTAATTGGAGTTTAACTAAAAGTGCCACACCCACATCCTATGCGATCTTACACCTTTTCCATGTAAATAGAGCTAAATACACAACATGTAATTGTACAATTGTAATTAAGACTAAGTGTACATCATTGACGTAATTGCGGCAATTTGACGATATCCACCAATATGCTTAGTATTTGTGCGGAGTAATAACAAGCAGCGTTGTGGAATTGATATGCTGCTTTTAAACTCATTTAAACCATTCATTATCAAGTCATAATGGATTCATTTATTTTATTTCTATTTTATCTCAGGTATTGAGACCGAAAGTGAAAGTGGTGACAAAACCTCTGACGCACCAATTGAAAAAAGAAAAGTTGTTACTGAGAAGTCATACGAACAATTCAGCCACAAAGTTTCAGCTTTAAGACAGAAGCTCGAGTTTAAATCACAAACGAAACAAGAAATATTCAAAAAGTACACCTCAAACCAACGCCCAAAACTCAAGCCGAAACCCAAACTCTCAGCCATGGCAGACATATCTGACGGTGATGGAACTGGCTCCAAATTCAAAAACATCAGGATGATGTTCGAGAGTAAGTGTAGTATGCAAAAATTGAACTTGAGTCGCTGGTCGCTGCAGGCGTATAACATTTCACCGACATGTATGTGTACTGAAATTTGATAAATTTTGAGCCGTGTGACACAAAATGTGAAATATTTGTCCCATTTGTTATCTGTGATATGTTTAATTCGCGCTTTCTTGTCTTTCTCCGGTCGATATTGAATTGTGTACCAACTCACTCAGGCCAGGGACAAGCAAGCCCGCCAGTATCCCAAAAACCCAAAAAGATCTCAGTCACAGCTCCCCCTAAAATCAACGGAAACAGCACAACAGAAACACCAGAGACAAGAAACAGGAGTTCAGCCGGAGCGGATGGGAAGAGCCAGGTATTACGGAAACACCCAGTACTCACACCCACTGACCACAGGGCCAACCCTCTAGCTACGGTCTCCAACATCTCAACAGATAATCGACTTAGTAAGTTAGGCCAGTTACGTGTTGTCACTAGGCGTTGTTTTGTTCTGCTATCCCTGGCAGCTTCAATCACTGCGCTTATTTTATCTTGTCTTTGTTTTCAACACTTTTTCCGCTTAGCGCATAGTTATACATTGATATTTTAGTGTTCAGTTACATATGTGATACAGATTGAACTGTGGACTTTGATACTAACATAGTTATCTCGTGCTTCGTTTGTTGTCTTTCACTAGCAGGTTGTACATTTTAATACTCTTCACTAGCTTTAAAGTTAAATTGTTTCTTTTTAATCGTCATCAGGTTAAATAAATTTTGGTTACTTAACGAACTCTTACTTTTAGTACTATTTGACGTGTTTCTCAACACACACAATCTGACGTGTTTCTCAACCGTCAGGTGTCCCAGAAAGTAACAGATCTTCTGCTCTCTCTGACATATCGTCCAGTGAGGACGAGGCTCCCATAGTCTCCGAGTGTGATACACAAGGTTAGTTCACACAGTTTCTGAGTGTGATACACAAGATTAGTTCATACAGTTTCTGAGTGTGATACAAAGGTTAGTTCACATAGTTTCTGAGTGTGATACACAAGGTTAGTTCACATAGTTTCTGAGTGTGATACACAAGGTTAGTTCACATAGTTTCTGAGTGTGATACACAAGGTTAGTTCACACAGTTTCTGAGTGTGATACACAAGGTTAGTTCACACAGTTTCTGAGTGTGATACACAAGGTTAGTTCACATAGTTTCTGAGTGTGATACACAAGGTTAGTTCACACAGTTTCTGAGTGTGATACACAAGGTTAGTTCACACAGTTTCTGAGTGTGATACACAAGGTTAGTTCACTCCTCCACTACTCAGTATTCCAGTACTTCTCATTAACCAATCAGCCACCTTTCTGGTTCATACCTTTTCACTAGTGCCCCTCAAATTGCCGGCTATTATAACTTAGGATTCAAATAAAATAATGTATTCTAAGGTAACGTAACAGTATTATATTTACTAACATGAAAACTCCGTCAGACCAGGAAAGCGATGTTGGGGAAGAAGAACACGACGCAACCTACGAGGAAGAAATGACCAAACGAAGAGAAGAGACGCCCCAAGAGAAAAACAAAAGAAGGAGGTAAAATTCCAGAACTATTATAAATATAATTCAAAACCAAATGTCTTTACCATTCCATGGGCTATGTCCATTGAACATTCAAATTATATAACTGTTTCCAGTAAATTTCATTTTTAATAATTAATTTCAGGTTTAAAATTGCCGAAGAGTTATATACGACAGAGGAAGCCTACTATTCAACTTTAACTTTAATCAACGAAACTTTCAGAAATAGATTAAAAGATGTGAGTTATTAAATCACGATAGCTTTTTTACTTGTGACTTGGATGCTAAAATTCAATATCATTTCAATAGATAAAATATACTCAACTCTACTGAATTTCATAGACATTAGACATAAGCACACAGTTGCTTTCAAATGATTGGAGCTTGTCCAACGTATTAGTGTACTCAGTATAATATCTTAGATCATATTCAAAGCATTATCTCTCCATTATGTGATATGTGATAATACAGTGTTAGCTCAGAGTTAGATCACCTCAACTGTTGCTCACCTCCTCAACCTCTGAAGCATGATTTCAACTAACGTCACATTGTACTGGGAACAAGCAGCCCCAAACACTCCGCAAACACTCCGCAAAACACTCCGCAAACACTCCGCAAACACTCCGCAAAACACTCCGCAAATTTGACAGAACAATTTATTTCAAATGCGTTAAATCACACTAACCATTGCGTCACTCCTTGACTAATATATTATTTAATATTTGCTTTGAAGTAAATTAAATTTCACTGTTCAGGATGAAGGGGTGTACATGTTCCCCGACAAGACTATCAGAGAAATCTTCATAAACACCCACGAGTTACAGAATCTTCACGTGGTTTTACGAGATAGGCTCAAAGATAGAATTGAAAATTGGTGGGTTGCAAAAAGCTTAAATTATCTCGTAAATCGAAATGTGATATCTTACACTTTCTGTTTTGACTTTCCGTTTATGTATAAAGTTCTACTCATAGCTTTAGTGCTTACATAATACATAATTAAGTTGTTTACATTATGGTGTATCGAATTACTGAATAAGCCTTAAACCAACGGATATGTGGATAAAAATAGCGGTCTTAGAAAACTGGGAATAAAATGACAAATCCCGAAATTTGAACTAAATGTATTATAAATAGGTTTTCTAGCGTGATTATTCATTCCACCCAGGCAGTTACGTCCGAGGATAGGAGATATAATGAAGTCCATAGCTCCCTACTTCCAGCTTTATACCGACTACATGGCCAAGTTTGAGAATGCCATTAAGACCCTTAATGAGATGTCCGCTAAAAACGAGAATTTCTCTCAGATCGTCAAAGATTTAGAGGTAGGCATGTATACGATTTCGATCAAGGATTTGAACCTTGTTGAGTATAATTATAGTGAATGTTACATTACAAATTTAGGCAACTATTTATTTGTAAGTTCTCCTTGAAGTTAGGGTAGAGTTATCTTGAAAACGGCCTGAAATAAACTAATTTACTATCTTGTAAGAAAATTAAATTATCTCGTACCTGTTAGCACTCATTCCGTCTGGCGTCTAGTGTGTAGTAAGTTCTAATAAATGTTGGATAAATTCAGCATATTCGTGTACTCCATTAACCTAACACAATATATAACATATCAGTATTATACTATAAAAGAGCGTGTGTTGTCGTTAAGTCATCACTCATCAGTAATAATATAACCTAGTTTTATAATATAATCCAGTCTTACTTGTGCTAATTAAACCAGATTAAACGGGCACCTAACGTGTCTGGAGATGTTAGCGCCTGATTACACTTTAATACGACCTGTTATTTGCACCATCTTACATTGATGTTCAGTTTGTTCACAGCGATACAATTTCTGTGTTGTGTTAATTAAATAAACGAATATAAAGTTAAGGGTATAAAACATTTACATTTTACATGTGCCAATACAGTCGCCTAAATATTGCTGTCTCTTGACACCACTTTGGGGTTAGACGGGTTCCTGCTAGTATATAATATATATTATTATATATAATATATATTATATATTATATGTAGATGTTGTGTTACAATACTGATCATATTCCAGGCAGATGATGAACATTGCCAGAAGCTCAAAATCTCACAACACATGTTGGGTCCAGTTCAGAGGATACCAAGATACAGGTCAGTCTGAGAAACACCTTTTTGAATTTTGGGTGAATTCTAACGAATTTAGTGCTTCTAAAGTCTTCTAGAATTCTTCAGATAAAGCTGCATTTCATGCAGAATGTCTTCTCAGTTTCTACTCTTATACAATGGTATACACATAGTTGAGTGCGAATACCACCCACTAAGTCTCCTCTACGGAAGTGCCTATACTTTACAGTTTACACTGACTTAGCGCGTTTGAATACTGGACATGTATTCTACTCTTAGGGCGTTTGATACGACCGTTTATTTATAACTATTATGTTTTGGTCTATAACGATTTATCACAAACTCACCCTATTAAAAGTCTCCCTTTTCCGAATAGAAGAGTTGGTGATAATATGTATATGGGAGGAGGGTGTAAATGACGTAACATTCTAGCTGCTGTAATATGTTTAGATAGTTGTTGGACTGTTATATGAATGTTGTTTGATTGCCAACATGTTAGATATTCTCTGACTCTTATCTTCCAGTTTATTGCTGAGCCAATTTGCTGCATAAAAATGCTCATATCTAACGAGGAAATTTGCAGTGTTTTTGGAGCTGTATGAGGCTGGGCGTCGACTTAATAGTCGTCTCAACCTGACTCTAAGATTACATATGTCACTCCTGTAGACTGCAACTGCGTCAAATGCTCAATTTTATGATCGGTTATGTAAAATATTGCGAGTAATGAGCGATCCCTTGCTGCGAGAAATCAGAACAAACCAGGAATTTGACTGTCAGAGCAAATATGCTCATAAACCCCGACAATTCGAATCAATTCTAATAGCTTACGTGACAAGGTTTGCGACCTCATGTGATCAAAGATGCAAAGAAGCATCCAGTAGATAATTTCTAGCAAATAATGGGAATCATAGCCATTGGCTATAAATCTGCACTTTTAATGTCTTATTATATGACAGGGTAGATTGAACGGTTGAGAAGAGGCTACTTGACCCTGTAAGGTAGTTAGTGTAAGCCACTGTATTTCAGGATGTTATTAGAGCAGTACATAGAGAGACTGGACGAGACAAGTCCTGATTATCCAGATGTTAAAGATAGTTTGGACAAGGTCGCTCTCGCTGCTAACAAAGCCAACGATAACATCACTAAACTGGTAATAATCCTGAGATCCTCAAGTTTAACTTTACGTTGCAAATGAAAATGTTATATTTGTGTGAACAGAAAGAAAGAGTGTCGTCTATTTCTAAATATTGCTTTCTATCTTACCCACAAATCCGTGCTTTTGTTACATCAATAATTTTTTCTGTTCAGGAGAATTTCCAGCTAGTATCACAGCTGTTAAGTAACGTGAGCGGTCTGGGGTTGACGTTAGAGAAACAAGAAACTAGGGCCCCCATGGTTTACATAAAACATGGGAAAATAATGAAAATGAGTAGACGGAACATACAGGACAGATTTATATTCCTGGTAAGAGTTAGACGGTATATAATAATAAATTTAATTACTAAATTACTTTAGTATAAACAGCTCTGAATCATTAGAACTTTAGAAGTTTTTTAGGCTGAGCAGCTTTTTATTTTGTACCACTATTATTACAACGGGATGATTTTCACCGCATGTATCTCAATATAAGAAGGCATTACAAAGTGTTAATGTATGAGTATCAAGAACGTGATAATTTGAAATCTTATCCTGATTGCACTCTTTATTTGTAATATGATCTCATGAATTGTAAAGACTCTCTTAAACAATGAGTTGAGTCAGGGGTGTAGGAATGATTTTCTTCATGGGGGGGCCAAATTCTAAATATTTTTTGGCGCTTCGCGCCACAGCCTGAATTTTTTGGCGCTTCGCGCCAAAGCCTGAATTTCGAGGTTAAGGACAAAAGGAAATTGCAGCATGTGCGGTATCGCGATTTTTCACGTTTGCCGCGACAAGTCGCGATTTTTCAGATCCTGGCCTCACGAAAAATCGCGATTTTTTCAGTTCTCCGCGTCAAATTGCGAATTTTCCTTTAAATCTGAGAACCAAATTCGTGTATTTTCCTTCAAATCTGTGGGCCAAATATTACGTTTTCTATAATTAGTATATGAAACCAATCAGTATTACATCCACAACCTTCCGAATGTAGGTACGGACTTAAAAAAACCGAAAAAAATATTTTCGGCTCAGAATGATCAGGGTAGCATAAAACATGAACAAAAGTAATTTCCAGAAAAACTTTTAAAAATTTTGACTTAGAAAATTTTCGGTCCGAGTCATTCACGATACGTACCTCTAAAAGCAGAGCTCCTGCTTCCGAGCTCGTATTACGAAGGGGAGGCCTGCCTTCCGAGATCACATCACAAAGGGGAACCCTCGAGTCCAAAATCGTATGTCGAACTTCGAAAACCGAAAAAAATATTTTTGGCTCATAATGATCAGGGTAGCATGAAACATGAACAAAAGTAGTTTTCAACTTCAAGAAAACTTTGAAAATTTTTGACTTAGAAAATTTTCGGTCCGAGTCATTCACGATACGTACCTCTAAAAGCAGAGCTCCCGCTTCCGAGCTCGTATTACGAAGGGGAGGCCTGCCTTCCGAGATCGCATCACAAAGGGGAACCCACGAGTTTAAAATCGTATATCGAAGGGTAGGTGCGGACTTCGAAAACCGAAAAAAATATTTTCGGCTCATAATGATCAGGGTAGCATGAAACATGAACAAAAGTAGTTTTCAAGAAAACTTTGAAAATTTTTGACTTTAAAATTTTCGGGGGAAAAAAATGTTTCCCAAAAATTTTTAAAAGCCTAAATTAAAAAGTTGGCCCTTTTTGGCCCCTTGCCCAAATTTCATGGGGGGGCGACGGCCCCCCCTGCCCCCCCGCTTCCTACACCCCTGAGTTGAGTGTGCACTGTGTAACCACAGAATGATTCACACCCGTTTGAAATGATTATTCCTCACCATGTGTGTTTCAGTTTAGTGATGTGATACTTATATGCAAGATAGAGGGTCACGGTAAATACAAATGTAACAAAAAGATCTTCGTCAGTGACTTGAGGGTAAGCAGGTTCTTACATTTTTGTGTTTTATAACATTTTATACATAGTTTGAATCTCCGAAAGTGCAATGCAAGTGCAACTGTCCGTGCTGCGACTTAACTTGATTTTCACTTGCTTTGTACATGAACCACACATATTTATCATACCTTGAAAATTGCTTTACAGTACCACTGATTAGTCACTTAGGTTTTAACAAATTCTCAAAATACCTCCGCATGCTAAGTGGATACATTGCCACAATTGTGAATGTTAAAGGTTAAAGGTCACATAAAATCACGAACAAATTCTTCAACACCATACATTTAACATTCCAACATATTTGCAGAGTATAGCGGATAACAGCGACCCTAACATGACCTACCCCTTTGAGCTCATCACGAAGAAAAGTTCCTTTATTCTCGGGGGAAAGTGAGTTTTTCATGATTATTTAATGTTTTTTCCGTAATCTGATATAGATGTACAGGGCTGAAATGTTCGAGAAAATGTACTCAACTGTAAAATAACAAAGCATTACATTGACTATCATGTCAATATATCATACTGTCATGATAGTAAAAGCTTCTATAACGGCAATTTGCCGGATAGGAAGCTAATTTTGCACTGCCAAAGCGCACGCGCGAAGATTATATTTTGAACCTTTTTCATCACGCTTATAGCGATGGCACGCACAAACGCAACAACATTCCCGTGGATTTTAAGAATTTCGAAAATTTCAAATTTGGTGCCAAATTTCCACTCATCCAGTGGTTTCAGGTTTACTTATAAATTGAACTCGTGTCTGTTTATCTCCTCCAAATCATACCACCAAAAACATTACAATCGATAAAGATGTGGAAACATTTTTTCTAACCATGCACAATGCACATGGTTATATAATATATATATAGATATTGTCAATGGCTCGATAGATAAACCATGATAATTATATCGACGGATTTGTTGCATGACTCATGAGTAGTACAGTTAGTAGTTATTTGCGATCAGATGTTATCTTTTTACTGGGAGTGTCGGCCCCCTTTCTTAGCTAGGGGAATCAACGAAGCAGGAGGTCGTATGCCGTATGGTATGGTGATCTATTTTATTCGAACATTATTTAGATTTGGGTAACTTGGCACACTCCGTTTAAAGTGGACATGGTCCAATTTCAACACTACTTTATCAAATATCTTGAGTTCAGAGATGGTGAGTGGTGACAAAGAACGGACATTTATGCTACAGATCTTGCAGTAAATTCTAGTGGTGTTTCAGTCATCATTATTTGAACTTATTTTTATAGTGGAATGTGTTAAAACCGAGCATTTAAATTTATTGACATTATCAGACTTAAGACAAGTTTTTATGACAATGATTGATTGATTATAAATAATATTTGGTGACTGTCACTGTCACGGTTTGTCTATAAATTTGAATGTATTAGAGCATGCGATCTATTATTCGCACACAGATAGTTTGCAGGCGTTTCACAAATCTGCAGTGATCCATCAAACGTTAATATCAAAATGTGATAGACTCAAAATCTTCTTTTGATTGGTCGGCGTCGACAGTAAGCGGTAAGCCTTCCTTGCGGTGGCTTTCACAACGCGTTCCCATTCTCCAACTCCTGCTGCTAGAGAGAGAGAGAGACTCCCAAGTTATATACCATAATTATATTATACATAGATATCGACAACAGACTCCGAGAGTCTTGAAGTTCTGTTACCACCGCCCCTGGTGCAACCCCTCCGGATTAACGATGACGAGACAGGGACTTCCAGGGACGGTCAATCCCTATTAATCTGCAAATTGTCTTAGTTGTAGACTCGAAAGCAACATGTGGTTACAGATTCGTACTATTTGCCTAGTTTCTCCGTTTCTCCGTTTTTGTGAACTTTTTTTCATGAAAATTTGAAACGACGGGAAATCACATATTTTGCAACAATTTTCTGAACTTTATGTTACTGTTGGTAATAACTGTTGGTAATAACTGTTGGTAATAACTCGAGACTAAACGGCAGCGGCAACTCCCTATGTTCATGTTTATCTGTTATTAATCGAGTATTAAGGATGAGCTTTTTCTTAAGAACAGATACACAAGTAAACATACGGAATACGTTCTTAATTTCTTATAAATAATTCAGATTTTGATAATCTGATATTTAATTCAATCTTCAATCGACACCATCGCCTTATATCGGAGTAAAGACTCTGTTTCTTGCTCTTCGACAATCTGCACCAGTGGTCGACCGGGGGTAGGATTCTGACCGGGGCCGGGGCCAGGGAGCCCCAATATAGCCGGGGCCGGGGCTGACCACTGAGAATTGGCCGGGGCCGGGAAATCTTCCATTTTGCCGGGGCCGGGGGTAGTTTACCAAACTGAAGTCAGAAATTGAAACATAAATTTGATAATAATTTAGGCTGGTGTGATGCAATCAGGAAGGATTAAACTCGAGGTGCGGCTTATCCTCACCGACTTGAGGATTAAACCGCAACTTCGTGCTGTGAACCAACTCAGGATAATCCTCATTATCCTGAGATCCATACTTAATTGAGATCCATACTTAATTTAATCCTCAACTCGGAACTGAGGATAACCCTCAGCTGCTACTTTATCTGGACCTCGGGATTTAAAAGTAATCCCACATCCAAATATGGCTCGGTTCACAAAAATTTACCATTAATGTTAGGCTCTGTAGTTTACGTTGAGCCGTAGTTTTAGCTGCAGTGCAGTATTTTTACTTTTTAGTTTCTACGTATTTTTTATCGCAAATTTCTCGGAGACGATTAATTGAAAAGTCTGATACTGAGGAAGAACCACGGCTTTTATGTTACTAGCCATAGTTTAATTTAAGCCGTATGTTGTATTTTCTATATTTAAACGTACCCAACGTAGACAATAACTTTTTCAACTTTGAAATCTCAAAATTACCATTAAATTGTGTTTGATTTTTTTCAAAAATGTGCCAAAATCATTCATAAAATCCCCGGCTGTGCCCCCGGCAAATGCATGGTTTTTGGCCGGGGTTAAATTTATTGGCCGCCGGGGCCGGGGTTTACCCCCGGCGAATTGCCAAATTTTGGCCGGGGCCGGGAAGGGCCGGGGGTTGTGATTTTGGCCGGGGCCGGCCCCGGTCGACCACTGATCTGCACGGTGGCTAACCCCTAGAAATCAACAGAGAATTTAATCATTACAAAAAACGTCAGCTAGTTCTTATGAATCATCGCTGTATTGTACTTGACAGTAAATTCCCTTGAACTATATATAATGATTTATGAGATCTATATCGTGCAAGAGATCTATATCGTGCAAGAGATCTATATCATACAAGAACTTGATCCTTACAATATCTTCTATCTGATAATTTTATTTAAGTTCTGATAAGTCGCCGGTAAGGCGTGATATTAAACCTGTTTGCTGCAGCTGGTTCGTTGCTAATTTGAATCTCCAGTTAGTTAACTTTTCCTCTGCTAAATAAAGGATCAAGTGAGCCAACATTGTTTTCTACAATAAAGTTCATTAACTTTAGAGTTCCATGTGGGATGGTAAAACATTTCAGAGAGCTTTTAACTTTTGATTTTGCTTCGTTTCCATTCTATCATTTTGCTCGTAGAATTTCTCCGACTTGTGGACTGCATCACCAGTTATAATTTATCATGGCTATGAGTTCGAGTAATAAGTATCAGTATGTGATATTCAGGGAGAAGCAGGTGCAACTGGTACGTGGAATAAGTATAGATGTAGCCAGCCCAGCTAAATTCCAGATATAATCTGAACAGCAGACGTTTAAGCTTTGAAAGGTATAATTCAATTCCCGAAATATTTTAGATGTCTCTGGATATATGTTGTATTTGCAATAGCCAATATCTATTGTCGATCTGATTGAAGTATAAATTCCCTGTTTCATTCCATATTATGCAAACTGAGTTCAGACACAAAAAATGCTGTTGATTAAATATAATAAGTCCATCGAAATGCTTGTGTGCTATAATTCTATGCTGTTTTGTTTCTGCAATCAGTATAGTACAAGAAATACAAGCAATACAAATGTCGAATCTTAAGCTACAATAGTAACTGTGAACGTACCGCGACAATTGACCCCCCAACAAGTGACCCCCGACAATTGACCCCCGACAATTGACCCCACAGCAAATGACCCCCTATGTAATTACACTGGGGTCAATTGTCGCGAAATCTAGGGCTCAGTACGACAATTGACCCCCGACAAGGTTAGGGTTAGGGTTAAATTAGGGTTTGGGTTAGGGTTAGGGTTAAAGTTTGGGCTAGGGTTAGGGTTAGGGTCAATTGTCAGGAGGTCAATTGTCGGGTGGTCAATTGTCGGGGGGTCAATTGTCGCCCACCCACTGTAAGGATACTAATAATATCATAACGCGCGGCGATTTCTCTCCCCTCTCCATACTGATAATATTAATAAATAATGAAATTTCACAATATTAAGTCTTTGACATACGTTGCATGCCACTTTTCGCGCGCGGGATACGAAACATGTATCAATTAAGTCTTGGTTTATTTAATCATCACATGATACGCACTTGAACATGAACACGAGGCCTGAGGGGGAACCAAACACCCTCTTATAGGAAGTAATAAACTTGTAACATTACACAATTTGATTCTAACTCAGTATATCTGGGCGCCACCCAAACCCTAACCCCAACCCTGAACCCAACCCTGAACTTGTCTCTAGGGGGCTGCAGCCCCCCCCCCCCCCCCCCCCCCGAAAAAATTGAACCCCAGAAAAAAGATAAGCCCCCTAGTCCCCATGGCCGCCTGGTAACTGGTCTGTGTTTATGACTGCAGTCAGTGTCAAAGATTTGAACTGTGGATTAGTAAATATCTGTCATAACATCCAAGCGAACATTCTAGAAGACTTCTATAAATAGTCAATAGTGTCCCCCAGACCGTAGGAAATGTCAAAATCTTACGACGATGAGGCCTGAGTAAGTCGTAAATTCTGATTGGAGAATGCAGATTGCTGTTGTGAAGTTACCAAATTTACGTGAGTACTTTATTCTTTTCAATCCCAGTTTATTGCTGTCCTACAAATTTATTTAATGCCAAATGTCGTCTAAAACACCCTATTTCGCAAAATTTTTCCGGGGGGCTGCGCCCCCCTAGCTCCACCCCTGGACCCTGGTGGGGGCTGCGGTTCTATTGTTTGCTATTCAGACTAGGTAGAATTACGGATGATTTATAATGAAGAATTATTATTTGGCGCCCACTTTCTAATTTCAAGATCATCGACTTTTTCACAATCGATTTAATTCCGTGGTTGATTGACAGAAAATTGGGTTCTTTGTTTATTAACCCACTTTTCTCTTCACATTCGGATCTTTTGCAGGATACGAATTATGATAGCCAATATTTTTATATCATTTGGCGCCTACAGGCTACAAGTACAAGGAATTGTTTT